TCAAAATACAGAAAAAATGTATCGAAATCAGCATTATCGATCGAGGGAGGCGCCGACTGCGCGCCAAGTGCGCATTGTGCGCCAGAGCGCGTGTTGACGTTTTTCACCCTGTCCGAGCCGTCCGCACGGACGGCGCGGACGGCACGGACCGCAGACTATGAAAGCAGCCTTAGAAGTTGTTCATAGTGATAGCTGATTTCTGGTAAATGATAGTTGTAATTAGTGACAATCGATAGAATACAACTGCAACAGGCTAATCATTTCATTGGCAGAAAACATTAACATTTTGTGAAGGCCGTCGTCACTTGTGGTGCATGGTCTGCACCCGACACTTTCTCGCTTTTTAAGGGGATGTAGCAAATACTACTGCCTATCAAAGTTCCGCTATCGCTGCCAAGAGCATCACAAAGAGAGAATAACGTTCTTAATGCTCCAACTCCAGCAAGAGAATGTGTTGCACTGGAAGCTCGGTAATGTAAAGCAGTTGTAATAAAAGATAAAGCCCAGCAAATACCTTATCGCAATCATATTCCGGCATGACATTTCCAACTTCCCTCAACGTATCGTCATCCCGCCGTTTTTTCATCTGCAATTGAGAAGAAGGCGCTCATGTCGTTGGACGAGTAGAGGAACATCCAGAGAAAGAGCTACTAACAGCATTCAGACTAAGCCTCAGAGAGAAAAAGCAATAGTGGAGGAGTATGTGAGCAATATTTGTCTCCCTGACGTTTTCCCCTCTCCTGGGCTTAGTTCTAGTCACCTACCATCGGCCCTGCTTTCAGTTGTAACATGTTTTCGTGATCAAATTAGTTTTTTGTCATATTTATTAGCATGACCCCTTTAAACCTTTCATTATAGTTCTTGAAGGAAAACTCACAAAATCATGAGCAGGAAATGGGCCATTGAATATCTGGAACAGGATTTCATAGAACGAAAGTGAATTTCGCTCGTAGTTAACTGCCTAACCTTGCCTTCTGCCTTCTCCTTTGAGTCCCTCACCACGACATTGACGCCCTGTGCACCTCCTCCTGATACCTGTGGATTCAGCTCCACGCCAGCTACCGTCTGCGGCTAAAGATGGTCAGATAGAAAAGTAAATGCTCACGCATATAATTAAACCCACCAAGAGATACAACATTTCAATGCTTGTAAATCGTGTATGAAGTAAGGTTGCCTTACCCATTCCAAGCCGTAGAAGGCGAAGATTTTTTTCAAAGGAAAGGAAATAAGCGGCTCATCAGAGCGAACCTCTTAAGTATCAAGAAACGTTCCATGTTATAAAAGCAACTCATGATTGAACAGCACACTTCGTCTT